ATACCTCCCAAAAGGTTGGTAGTCAGGCCAGATATGCTCCTGCCACCACCCTGCCCCCTCATCTAAATGGGCTTACAGACTCTCAAAGGAGATGGTCCCTCTCTGGCGCCAGAACTCACGTTTGTCTTCATCAGGACAAGCTGTATGTCTGACCCAGGTCCTTTCAATTAAAACAGAAGGGGTCAGGATAATGGGGCACAGATAGTCCCTTTCTTTAGTGAGCACCAGCCTCAGTTTCTCCAAAGTTCCACAAGTGGGCCACATGCCTGTGTGGGGAGTGGACTGTGAAGAGTGTCCTGGTGAGTCTCCCCTTGCCACAAAAGAACTCTCGCGTAGTCTGTCCTAATGTCTAAAATTCCACCATTAGAGATTCTTTCCTTGACTTGGAAGGTTTTCAATGTTAAGCTTTTCCTGTTAAAATGCAGATGCTCCTGGTAAGGGGAAGAACTTGAGGTTTTTTAAAACTACCACCTCTGTGAAGATTTGATGATAGCTGGGCTGAGAGCATTGGCCCTGAAAGAACTGGCACAAAAGGTGGGAGCGATTCCATTGAAGAGAAAGAAAGAAATATGTTATGTTCACCAAATTGTGTCAGTGCATTAAAAGCCCTCTGCTTGCATTGTGTGTGTTCGAGGCTGGCTGCTATGCAACATAATGGGGGTTAATTCCAGGGCTAAGAGCTCTGCCTGGGGATTGGATGCTTCTACTAGGAGGGAGAAAGGGGGTGATGGTGGGTTTGATTCTCTTGTATAACATCCTTTTCTTCCTGGAAGATAGAGGCTTCCGTCTCTCAGGATTCCAGATCCTAGAAAACATGAAAAGGGGGTTAAAAGCTGTCTTTTGTCTTTGTAGAAAATAAGATCTTTTGTAAAATTTAAAAAATTGGCAAGTACCATACCTCGGAAACAGAGGGTAGAGAAAAACAACTGGGGAGTGGAGTAGAGAGTTACATTAATATGAGGATGATTTTCCACTCCAGCTGCTCAGCTTATTAGTTTAAAAATTGCTTTAATATCTATATGTTTAGTTAAGAGAAGCCCCACTCATAATTGGAAATTTTAGAACAAGATGGCTCCTTGGAGATCAACTGGTTTAATCCTAACTCAGAGAGGTGAAACGAGGTTTCCCAGGTCACACAGCAAGGCTGAAGCCCAGGCTGGCACAAGCACCCCTCCACCCCCGTCTCCCAGCTGCCTGTACTGGGTTCCACTGAGGAGGTGCTGGGCTTGCTCTGGGCTCCCTCTGTTGGAGTGGAGATACAGGTAGCTTCCTTTTTTCTAATGATCTCATCCCCTGTCACCTCCTTCTCCTCCTGCACTCAATCTTTCCTAGCATCAGGGTCTTTTCCAATGAGTCAACTGATCATATCTTTTTATGTTACAGACCTGAATTAAGGTTCTGCCTACACTAGACCTCTGTTTCTGGGGATTGGCCAAAGAACCATCTGCAGGCACTTTCCAGGGCAGGCAGGGCATGGTCTGGAGGCAGCAAGTCTTGGGGTCTTTGGGGGGAGTCCCCATCTCTGGTCCACCAGTGCCCAGATCAAGTATGCTACTCTGCCCTCAAAGGACTCAGTGACAAGCGTCCCCCTCCCCCTCCCCGGTGTCTCTCTGTGAGCCCGGGGCTGGGCTGAGTCACGTACAATTCTTTCGGTAGTGGCAGTTCGCCCTGGTTCAGCAGCCCGTGTGGTCGAGATCGATCAGCAGGCGTCCCTCTCCTAATGACGCGCGAGCTGTGAGGAGTTGGGCTGTTTACACAAGGTCACTTTATTAACAGGGAAATCGCTCTTATGACAAATGGGTGTTCTCATGCTGTCCTCCCGCCCTCCTTCCCTCTCTCATCCTTTCTCCTTTCTGCTCCAAGAGCTTTGTGGACCCAGAGCTTCTGCTTCCCTAGGAGATGCAGCTCTCCCTTGGAGCCAAATCACATGAGGCCAATGTCCCAGGAGAGAGGAGGGTAATTATGAGCTTCTTCACACAGCTTCCTCCAGAGAGCTTGGTAGCTGCTTCCAGAGAACCACATCCTTGTTACAGACCAATAGGCAGAATTTCAGATCAGTGGTGGCCACTTCTTGAGTTTTCACAGCATATTACAGTTTATAAAGACCGCCCCCCCCCCCCCCGGGCCATTCTTTATAGTAAACCATGTTGTTTAAACACTTTGAGTAAGGTACCAGAGAGAGGTATTATTGTTTTTAATCCCCATTTTAGGGATGAGAAAATGGAAATTCAGATACAGAGCTGAAATTGAAACCTTGCTGAGTCTTTTGACCTAAAATCTAGGGTTGTGAAATTTAAAACCAGAGAAGTCTAGGTTTAAATCTTAGCTGCCAACTTACTGAAAGTTTTGTTTTGTTTTGAATAATAGACTTTATTTTTTAGAGCAGTTTTGTAGTTGTTTAGCTGCCAAGTCATGTCCGACTCTTTTGGGACCCCTTAGATTGTAGCTGCCAAGTTCCTCTGTCCATGGGATTTCCCTGGCAAGAATATTGGAGTGGGTTTCCATTTCCTCTCCAGGTGATCTTCCTGACCCAGGGATAGAACCCATGTCTCCTGTTTGGCAGGCAGATTCATTACCACCGAGCTACCTGGGAAGCCTAGAGCAGTTTTTGATTTACAGAACTGCTGAGCAGAAAGCAGAGTGTTCACATATACCCCTTGTGTCCTGCCACACACACATCTTTCCTGTTAATAGCATCTAACAGCCTTGGTGTGGTACATTTATTATAATTGATGAACCAGTAGTGATACATTAGTACTAACTGAAGTTCAGAGTTTGCATTATAGATTCACTCCTTGTGTTACACATTCTATGGGTTTTGGCAAATGTATGATGTCATGCATCCAGCATCGCAGTATGTTAGATTAGGTTCACTGCCCCCCAAATCCCCTATTCATTCCTCCTTCCTTCCTTCTTTCTTTCTTCAGCCCCCAGAAACCACTTTTACTATCTCCATAGTTCTGCATTTTCCAGAATGTTACACAGTTGGAATCATACAGTAGCCTTTTCAGACTGACTTCTTTCCCTTAGGAATATGCATTTAAGTTTCCTCCAGGTCTTTTCATGGCTTGAGAGCTCATTTCTTTCTTTTTTAATTTTAAAGATTACCAAGTTTTTATTTCACTTAATTTTTTTTATTTGGCATCTTTTTTGTTAGGGATTTTAAAAATAGACTTTAATTTTTTGGAGTAGTTTTAGATTCACAGAAAATTGAGCTGAAAATACAGAGTTCCCACATACCCCTGCCCCACACATGCACAACCTCCCCCACTATCGGCCTCCCCCACTATCGGCCTCCCCCGCTAGAATGGTACATTGGTTACAGTTGATGAACCTACACTGAGGCATCTTTATCTCTTAGAAAGCCCCTAGTGTACATTGGTTCTCTATAGCCTGTGGATTTTGATAAATGTGTAATGATGTGCATTCAACATTACAGTATCACACAGAATAGTTTCACTGCTCTACAAGTCCTCTAGGGTGCCACTAATTCATCCCTCCCCTTCCCCTCCTCCACCTCACTTCCTGATAATCACTGATCTTTCACTGTCTCCATAGTTATGCCTTTTCCAGAATGTCACGTAGTTGGAATCCCACAGTATGTAGCCCCTTTAGACTGGCTTCTTTCACTTAGCAATATGCATGTAAGTTTCCTCCATATCTTTTCATGACTTGATAGCTTATTTCTTTTTAGGGCTGAATAGTATTCCATTGTCTGGATGTACCACAGAATTATTTTTGTTTTCATGTTTTTTTTTTCAACTGTAAAAGGGGAATAATAGTGTTATTCCCAGAGTATGAAACGTAGTGCTTGACACATAGCACCTGCCCTGTATTATTATTGTTGTTTTTAACTTCTTCCATTTACATTATTACTAAATGCTGATTCCCAGGACGGCTTGTTTAGGTCTTGGATGGGGAGAGTTCGTAGTACATTGGAGAGAATGAGACCAGTGTCCCAGGCTCAGGCCTTAGGACTAAAACCATCTTGCGTAAGTTCAAACCACTTTAACTCTGTGGGTCTCCATCAAATGATCTGAAAAAGGAAAGGCAAACCTGGGTGATATACTATCGAAGCACCTCTCGAAAGACACTCATCAGGATGATGCATCTGCCTAATGCCTCTGCTACTGGAGAGTATGGGAGCAATGCCATTACACTCCCAGTAATGCTACTGGTAGTAATGCCACTCCCACAGCCTGGACTGTTCTTGGGATCCTCTTCTGATTTCCCCAGGCAGGACTAGCTTTGTCTATGGCGGGGGGCGGGGGCAGGGGGTGAAACAGAGGATCAATCTCAGTATAGTTCTTCAGGACAGATGGAGTAACCAGAGATCAGCTGAGCAGAAGAGTAACTAGCAGATAAAAGCAGCTGTTTACTTTTCCTTCTTGGCCTAAAGGAGTCCAGAGATCCCAAGGATTCATTAAATGTCTGAATTGAAGGGCTACTGAAGTGGTGAGAAAAACAGAAAGATCTAGGCAATATGGCAGTATAGGCAAGTGGATGTATTTTTTTTTTTCTCATTATAATCCTCCTGCCTTTCTTTCCTTCTTGCACTGTCATAGGATCAGAGAAAAATGTCTTATAAACAGATACCAAGTGAAAGCATTATTTTCTAAATACCTATAATGCAAACCTAACCATCTTAGACAAACTAATTCCTCAAGCCTCAGTTTCCTCATCTGTAGAATGAGAAGCCCAATAGTACCAAGTCCATGGGATTGCAACAAGAGTTGATCAGATAATCCACCTAAAGTCCAAGCCCAGTGCCTGGTGTCTGACGTGTGTGTGTGTGTGTGTGTGTGTGCGCGTGCGGGCGCGCATATATAGTAAACAATCAGTTCCTACCATGATTTGATTACTACTTTCACCTCAGTTAAAATTCTTTCAACTCTGTGTGGCTAACCATCATTATCATCATCCCCATTTTATGGATGAGAAGACTGAGACTTCAAAAGATTAAAAAACTTGTTCATTTTCTTCTCCAGGGATCTTCCTGACCCAGGGATCAAACCCGCATCTCCTATGTCTCTTGCGTTGAAGGCCGATTCTTTACCTGCTGAGCCACTGGGAAAACCAAGGATGCCCAATTAGTAAGAAAAAGGGTTGGTGTTTGAACACATGCCTTTTTGTTCCATATGCCCAAACCAATCCCCACCAAAACCCCTCCTTTAAAGAACTACACATGTGTAAGATTGTATTTCTATTTGAAAAATATCATAAAGCCTGTTTCTAACTGAGGCTGATTTAGTTTTTTCATCCTTAGAGGTAAAGAACAGTGAATTTGTGGTTTAATAATGGTAAGAGAAATGGCTCTAGCCAAGCTGATTTCAGTTGGAGCTCTGCTTTTGCACCTGGGAGAACGTGTGTGTGTGTGTGTGTGTGCGCGCGCCCGCGCGCGTGCGCGTGTGCACGCACGAGCACTCATGCATGCATGCAGCTAAGGGGCACCATTTGTATTGAGGAGGGAAAGTCACGGTGGTTAGGAGAGAGAATGACTTAGGAGGAGCTGCCAAGACACTGGAACTCAACCTAGTGCTGATGTATGATAACCAGGGCACGTTACTGAAAGGCATAAAATAATACAAAAAGTTATTTTTCAGCCAATATGCTGACACTGCACCATTTTGGGTCCCTAACTGAAAATGATATATGAATTATCTCAACCTAAAGTCGAAAGTATAAATTATAGAATATATCTTTCACTGTTTTATTTGGGCTGTAAAGCGACACCTTATTATTTCTCCCTCCTGGGCTTCCTTTAATGAATCGGGATTTGAAAGTGAAATATTTATTATATTGCAGGGGAGAGATTACATCGTGCTTCCAAAAGCAGGGAGGAAGGGATATGGAAATCAGGTGGCATCTTGGAAACTGGTCTCTCTCTTGTTGATGAGAAATGGCTGATGCATGTGTTTCCCTGAGTTGTGAGAAGCTTACTGAAGAGGATCCCTCTGGTGTGCTGAACATGGGGGCACGGGATGCCAAGTCAGAGATCCAGGCCCCCAGCCTGCTCTCATCCATAAGCCCTTCTAGTTTGATTGGGAACATCCAGTGGATAAGAGATGCTTGATAATGATGTTTTCATTCATGGAGATGGAGTATCATGAGCCTTCTTGTTAAATTTGGCTGGGGTGGAGGAAAAAGAGGGAGGAAGGGGGAAGGAAATACCTTCATCTCCACTGGTTATTGGATGTTGATAATGACAATTGATTATTCACACCATAGGGCAGTTACTGTGAGTCAACACTGGCTTAATGGATATATTTCCTCTACTAGCTCCCAAATCAGTCCTGATGGATGATTATGGGAGTTTAGGATGTCATATGACTGCTCAGGGCCAGGCAAACCAGATTGTCTCACTGTTTAGAATGAGAGCAATTGTTCCTAGGATACTAGAGGATTCCTGGTGTCCCTGCTATAGATAATGGGAGAACAAATGTGTTAAAAGGTTGGGCCCACATTGTAAGACAAGGTTACCAAGCGGCGACACCACATTTCCTGTGATTGTGACCATAGCTCAGGGAGGAGTATCTGTGCAAAACTTGAATTTACTCCTCATTCATTCATCTGTTCATTTATTCCATAAACAGTCATGAGCACTTCTGTGTCCCCAGCACTTCTGTGTCCTGAGCACTGAATTAAGCACTGCGGAAAAGAAAGAAGTAATATCCAGCCCTTGTGCTCAGTGACCTATGGGCTAGAGGGAAAGACAAACCATAAACAGGAATCCAAGAGGCATGTCAGGTTATATCATTGGATTATGTAAGGATACAGTGTTGGCCCAAAAAGGAGATGATTGACTTTGCCTGAAGCAGGAGGAGAGAGGGAAGGCTTCAAGTCCTCCACAAGCTGATTCATAGACAATATGCATCGAATGGATTCCTTCCTCATTATTGTGGGGGGGGGGGTAATATTTAAAAGCAACAGAAGGGCATACGAGAGAATACACAAAGGCAAAGAGACGTAAACAGGTGGCTGAAACAGAGTGCTGGAGACAGAATAGCCAAGCTCTCAGGGTGCTGTGGTTGTTGTGGAATCCTATTTTGTGGCTACAAACCTTGTATTGCCATGCTGAATGCTCTTTTCCTATCACCTCGTTGTGATTATTCTGATATTTATGTTGTCTGATCTATATGTCTTACTCCAAATCTGAAATTTGTCCCTTGACCCCTTAGCTCATACACGCCATAATCAAGGCTGGCAAACACGGCGGTGAACTCTTCCCTGTCCAGCTCATGAAATAGAGTGGGAAGAACAGGACCCGCTGCCCCCAGCCCACACCTTTAGTGCCTCTAACACTCTAACCCAAGCCTTTCAGCACTCGTTCTCTGGTGGCATTCACTGATGGGTCTCTATATAAGCTGTTCATGGGGTGGGATGGGCATCTCTCTCCAGAAGCCAAGAGCCCCGAGTAATTTAGCCTGAGGTGCCAGAGGCTGCTCTGCAAGCAGGAGGTGTGTGAAATAGATTTGACTGGCACTCTGAGCCTGAGGGGCTGGAGGGGCTGGACTCTATTTGTCAGGGCAGTGTTTCTGTGTTGAATGCTGTTAGCGCTGGGAAGGGGCTCGTGGTTTGGGAGGCTGGCGCACCAGTGAAATGGCAGCAGCCCCTGTGGGGTCAGGCATAGGAGGCCTCCAGCAGGGATCTGCATCTTTCTTGTATTAGCAATTCAGAAGGGACTGGCAGCAACGTGAAACTCTCCCCTGACAGCCCACTCCTGGGAGCTCCGAGTTAAGCGAAGGACCTGCCAATTGTGAAATTCCCCATGTTCTCTGAGCACCCAAGGTGGGGGCAATAGCCCACATGAGGAGGCCATGGCACTTCTTCCTGACAGCGATAGCATAACCCAGTGATTGCAATGCATCTCATCTCCTTGTCATGGCAGTGCATACATATGGTTCATAGAAACACAGCCGCGTGAGACTTAGACAAAACCCAATCCTGCCTCTTCATTCTTTGTCTGCAGACTCTGTGACATGCAGGTTACAGAGTGGCCAAGTTCAGACTTGAACTCAGGTTTCCTGACCCCTCCTCCTCTGTCCTTCCCTGCATCTCTGAATGTTTGTGGGGGAGGGCAGGGTCATCAGGGGAAAATCAGTTGAAACAGACAAACTAAGCAAGTGACAGATTGTCCGTGCATCTAATATCTGGTGGTCAGTTTGTACATTGTTGCCAAACAAATTTGCCTTCTAACTTTTGCAAAGTTTAAAAAAGAAGATTCCTAGTCAATGACTGTATTTATCATTACATTTTACTTGTAGTGAAATGCATCTTTCTCCTTTGCCTCAGCACATATCAATTGACATCTCAGTTGGTGAAATTTGAGGAAACAGCATGAATGAAACTCACCATCAAGGGTGGCAGAGGCTGGATGGACCTTGGCCGGGGTTGAGTTTGGAGGAGCCTGGCTGGCAGCGAGGGAAGGAATAAGGTGATGACCACTAGAAGTCTCTTTTATTCCTGGGATGAGAACGTGTCAAACATCTGCTGACAACCACGCTGAGCTTGTTCAGGTGGGCGTGGTTAGGAGCTGTGGGCTACCAGAATGGGAGGGTCTTAGTGGAAACCAGAGTATGAAGAAGGTTCTCAAGTATTTACAAGGAAATACATGTCTTGAATGGAAAAGAAAGGGAATGTTTTTAGATGTGGTAAGTAGTGTCTGTGCGTGTGTGTGTGTTGGGAGGGGCTGCAAAGTGGCATGGCAGAGTCTTTCCTCTACACCATCTCCTCCCCAACCCCACCAATCTCCCTTCAATTTCTATCCCTTCTAGAAAAAAATCAGGGACTTCCTTTCCTGCCATGAGCTTAGATTTATGGCTCTGTGATAATGAAATTGAATTAAAAAAAAACAACACTCTAGGATGCAGACATAGAGAACAGACATATGGACACATGGTGGGAAGGGATAGGAGGTGGGAAGGAGGATCAAAAGGGAGGGGACATATGTATACCTATGGCTGATTCATGTTGATATATGACAGAGGCCAACACAATATTGTAAAGTGATTTTCCTTCAATTAAAAATAAATGTTTGGGGGAAAAAAAAACATTTCAGAACTTTTACACATGAAAGGACGTGTTTCTGCTTCCCTTAATTACCTTGATAGGGTCTGTCCGCCCTCTAAGCAATAATGAGGGTTTTCCTTTTGTGTGCCATCCTTGCAACTCTCCTGGGGACCTTCAGCGTGGTCAGGTGAGTCTGTTCATTAGGTATATGTTTTCATTTGTAACTTTCGGATTCAGTCAAGGTCATGCAGAGCCAAATCTGAATTTAAGGAGGGAGATTTGCCAGGGTTGGTGTTTTTTGGATCACAAACCAAGAGTGGCTATATGGGGGTTCATTAGACTGTGTCTTCTCATCTTTGTCAAACTTGCCTTTGTTTTCTGTAATGGGAGCATGCTTGACTATACCCTCCACCCCAACTCTATTTTTTAACTCTGAATAATGACCACTACCACCACAACCAAACCCTTGTAATATTAACACTTGGTCTGAGTAGACTGACATTCTTTCCTCTCCATCATCTTCAACCTTTTAGCCTGGAAAGAGCTCTAAGGGGTCTTCAAAAGCTTAGGCTTAAATTTTGGTTCTCTTACCACCAGCTGTGGAAACTCAAGGATGTCCTTGCCTGTGTGCTAAGTCACTTTGGTTGTGTTGGAGTCTGTGACCCTATGGACTGCAGCCTGCCAGGCTCTTCTGTCCATAGGATTCTCCAGGCTAGAATACTGGAACGGATTGCCATTTCCTTCTCTAGGGGGTCTTCCCGACCCAGGGATCAAACCCAGGTCTCTTGTGTTTCCTGCATTGGCAGGCAGGTTCTTTACCACTAGCACCACCTGGGAAGCCCAAGGGTGTCCTTTGCCTTCTGTGAATTCCAGTGAAAGTAAATAGAAGTGTTTACCTTGAAAACTTGTGAAGATTAAATGAACATGAGAAAGTTTCCAGTGAATAGGAGACGTTTAATAAGTGTATCTTATCTTAAATAAGGTAGCAGCTTGGGACGGTTCTCTTTCTATTCTCTTTTTAGTCTCTATTCTATTTCTCTCTCTAGTCCTGCCTTCCTAGTTTCCTTGATACTCATCGCCATGCCTTGGCATATCTTCTGGTCTGTCCCTCTTTCATCAAGAAGCCATTGGGAGATGGAGAATGTGCAGGATAGGGTAATGAAAGGGAATAAATAGAATTGGTCACGGCTCCACACCCAGCTCAGGGATGACACTACACAGACCTCAGATTGTGGATCTCACTGAGCTGATCATAGACTCACAAGCTACTAGGCTCATGAGGCAGGGTCTTAACTGGACAGGAAGGCTGAAATTCTCTTCTCCCGGCTCCCTGATAAGCCCTGGGGATGCAATGGTTAGTAAGACACAGTCCTACCTGAGAAGACTTACTGTGTCCTAGTCTCTGAAAATTGTTGAAAGAGGAGGAGATGTATAATAGGAGCTTCTAAACAGGCCCTAAATAATCCCTGACCCCAGAAATTCATCTTTGTGTAAGCTCCTCCCGTTTGCTGTGGGCTGGGCCTAGTGACTTCTTTCCAACAATTAAAATGCAGCCGAAGTGGCAGGATGTCCCAGATTTCAGACAATACTACAAGAGAGCCGCAATAATCAGAGCAGTGTTGGTATTACAGACATGGATCAAGGGAACAGAATAGAATCCAGAAACAAACCCACACAGCTACTGTTAATTAATCTTCTACAAAAGAGGTAAGGATATACATACAATGGAGAAAAGACAATCTCTTGAGCTAGTGGTGTTTGGAAAGTTGGACAGTCTCTTGTAAATCAATGAAATTAGAGCACTCCCTCATACCATACACAAAAATAAATTCAAAACGGCTTAAAAACTTAGATATAAGATATGACACCATAAAAACCCTAGAAGAGAACATAAGCAAAATATTTTTTGACATTAATTGTAGCAATTAGGTCAGTGTCCCAAGGCCCTTAAATAAAAATAAACACATGGGACCTAATAAAATTTATAAGCTTTCACAGAGCAAAAGAAACCATAAACAAAATGAAAAAACAACCTATGATCTGAGAGAAGATATTTTCAAATGATGTAAGTGACAAGGGTTTAATTTCCAAAATATACAAGAAACTCATTGGCTCAAAATATTAAAAAAAAAAAAAAACCTGAACAAACCAATCAAAAAATGGGCAGAAGACCTAAATAGACATGTCTCCAAAAAAGACATATAGATAGTTAACAGGCAAATAAAAAGATGCTCACCATTGTTATTTATTGAGAAATGCAAATCAAAATTACAATGATGTATATCACCTCATGGAACAACAGACTGGTTCCAAATAGGAAAAGGAGTACGTCAAGGCTGTATATTGTCACCCTGCTTGTTTAACTTATATGCAGAGTACATCATGAGAAATGCTGGGCTGAAAGAAGCACAAGCTGGAATCAAGATTTCTGGGAGAAATATCAATAACCTCAGATATGCAAATGACACCGCCCTTATGGCAGAAAGAGAACTAAAAAGTCTCTTGATGAAAGTGAAGGAGGAGGGTGAAAAAGTTGGCTTAAAGCTCAACAGTCAGAACACTAAGATCATGGCATCTGGTCCCATCACTTCATGGCAAATAGATGGGGAAACAGTGGAAACAGTGTCAGACTTTATTTTTTTGGGCTCCAAAATCACTTCAGATGGTGATTGCAGCCATGAAATTAAAAGATGCTTACTCCTTGGAAGGAAAGTTATGACCAGCCTAGGCAGCATATTTGAAAGCAGAGACATTACTTTGTCAACAAAGGTCCGCCTAGTCAATGCTATGGTTTTTCCAGTAGTCATGTATGGATGTGAGAGTTGGACTGTGAAGAAAGCTGAGTGCCAAAGAATTGATGCTTTTGAACTGTGGTATTGGAGAAGACTCTTGAGAGTCCCTTGGATTGCAAGGAGATCCAATCAGTCCATCCTAAAGGAAATCAGTCCTGGGTGTTCATTAGAAGGACTCATGTTGAAGCTGAAACTCCAACACTTTGGCCACCTCATGCGAAGTGTTGACTCATTGGAAAAGACCCTAATGCTGGGACGGATTGGGGGCAGGAGGAGAAGGGGATGACAGAGGATGAGATGGCTGGATGGCATCACCTACTCAATGGACATGGATTTGGATAGACTTCGGGAGTTGGTGATGGACAGGGAGGCCTGGCGTGCTGCGATTCATGGGGTTGCAAAGAGTCGGACACGACTGAGTGACTGAACTGAACTGAAATGATATCACCGCACACCAGTCAGAAAGCCTATCATTAAAAAATCTGCAAACAATGAATGCTGAGGAGGATATGGAGAAAAGGGAGCCCTCCTACACTATTGGTGGGAATGTAAATTGGTACATCCATTATGGAAAAAGGGGCTTCCTAGGTGGTGTTGGTGGTAAAGAACCCACCAGCCAATGCAGGAAATGTAAGAGAGTTGGACGCTATCCTTGAGTCAGGAAGACCCCTTGGAGGAGGGCATGGAAATCCACTCTTGTATACTTGCATGGAGAACCCCATGGACTGAGGAGCCTGGCAGGGTACAGTCAATAGGGTTGCAAAGAGTTGGACATGACTAAAGCTACTCAGCACAATGGAAAACAGTATGGCAGTTCCTTAAATTAAAAATAGAGTTACCATATGATCCAGCAATCCTACTCCTAGGCATATATTTGAAAAAGGCAAAAACTCTAATTTGAAAAGATACATGCCTCCCCATGTTCATAGCAGCACTATTTATAGTAACCAAGACATGGAAAAAACTTCAGTGTTCATCTACAGATGAAAACAGATGAATGGATAAAGAAGATATTATACACATGCACACACACCCATGCATACACACGCACACACATGTGCACACACACACAATGGAATACTACTCAGCCATAGAAAAGAATGAATTAATGCCATTTGTAACAACATGGATGGACCTAGAGATTATCACACTAAGCCAAGTAGGTCAGATAAAGACAAATATCATAGACAAATATCATAATATGTCACTTATAGGAGGAATCTTAAAAATAATACAAATGAAGTTATTTATAAAGCAGAAACAGACTCATAGACATAGAAAACAAACTTATGGTTACCAAAGGGGAAAGGGGGAGGGAGCGAAAAACTAGTTTCTTGGGATTAACAGATACACACAACTTTGTATAAAATAGATAAACAACAAGTTTCTTCTGTGTAACGCAGGGAACTATATCCAATGACTTGTAATAACTATAATGGAAAAGAATATATATATGTATATGTATACAACTGAATCACTTTGCTGTGTACCTGAAACTGTAAACCTGTAAATCAACTATACTTCAATAAAAAGAAAGTGGTGAGATGTCACTTCTGAAATTAGGTCACCAATAAATTGACTCTGAGGGAAGTCATCTGGCAGCTGCTCTACAGAGAGTCCATGGAAGGAGCCCAGCGAGGCGCTCAGCCAATAGCCAGCCAGGAGCTGAGGCCCTCAGTCAAAAAACCTGCAAGAACTGAGTCTTCCCAGTGAGG